GAGAGCAACACCCAAGCGAAACTCTGGCCCTGTTTTAGGCACTGCTTCTTTCGGATTGGAATTATTATAATCCAAATTATTTAGAGTAAGCTGAAAAAATAGACAACTTATTGAAGTAGTTTATTATAATCTGGTTCCCAGCTTATTATAATCATTATAATATGATAAGCTTATTTAGGTGAGCTTTTTCCAGATTATTGGGTGAAAAATTACCCACCATGCCACCCACTCACTCTTTAGACTTGCAAACCCAATAATTTAGGCTCTAATAATTTAGGAAAGAAACAACTAACCACTTATTCTACTACAGATTATAACAATCTAGCTTATAGTAATCTGACTCAATAATCTAGATTATAATAATCACAAGCTGAGGGAAACAGGGCCTTAGTCACACCAAACTTCCCCTCAACTTCATTCAAAAAAAAAACTTCCTCTCAACTCCCAACTTTCCATCACATCACATCACATCCAAAACTTTCCTACACACATAAACTCCCAACTTTTTTTCCAAACTACCAATTTTCTCCAAAATTCTTCCCAATTTCAGGAACTAAACACAGCCTCTACCGAATCAGGATATAGAGACTTCTGCACAAGTGGTGATGATGATCGAGGCTCAGCTAAGTTTGTTCCTCAGTCTCCAAATACTGGGTGTGTTTAGTTCCTGAAAAAAGTTAGAAGTTTGGAGAAAGTTGAAAGTTTGGAAAAAAAGTTGAATGTTTATGTGTGTAGGAAAGTTTTAGATGTGATGTGATGTGATGGAAAGTTGGAAGTTTGGGGTAGCTGAGGGTGAACTAAACACGGCCATTGTAATCTAGCTAGGATAAGATGAGATTTGTCATGTATTTCCAGGTTTGTAATATTTTAGAAACGGAGAAAGTATTACTAACAAATACTAGTGCCTTATTTCGAAATTTGTACGAACTATAATAAATTAAATGGAGAGTAAATTTTAAACTCTCGAGTGAACATCTTCTATGTCACTCGAATAGTTACAAAGAATTAAAAAAACGAAATTGAGAAAATATATTAGTATATGATATATCACTCCACAAATTAAAATTCAAATTTTACAAGTTGAAAAAAAAGAAGCAAATTTGAAGTGGTTGTATATCACATGGAAATTTTGAAGTGTTTTAATTTACATGGAAATTTGAAATGTTTTAGTTCACATGAAAATTTTATGTAATTTAGTGGATTTAAGCTTGAATCGAGATTATATTAAAATAATCCAAATAACAGAGACTTAATTAATTGAGACTTCTTTTAATTTGGTGTGTACCCAGGAACATTTGAGACTTCGATCACCTGTGCCAAACTTCTATGGATCGATAGACGACATTGCCGATGTCGTTGCATTACTTTTATAAGTAGATGCGCGTGACAGTAAATTATACTCGCAGTTACTAGTAACTTCTCCGAAATTACAATTGCTTGCGGGAGTAGCTAGCACCAACCAACAAGTCATCGTTGACTGTGACTAAGGTATACGGACTACGATCCTGCGTCTTCGCCTAAAGTCTATCTTGATCTAGCTAGGCTTCCTCACGAAGTAATTCCTTTATCCATCCAAATATAAGTACACGATACTTGAGATGTTATTTTAATTAATAATATTTATAAAACTAAGATGTTTTAAATAAAAAAGTTACACGTTATGATAGTTTGTTTAATGATAAATTGATTTTTTTTATTTTTTGTTGTTAATAGTTAAAGTTATTAACTTGGAACTACTCTAAAAGTATAGAAACAAAGCAGTATTTGATTAGTCTCACGTACGATTTATTATTACCCCGATCGCAAACCGGCCGTCAATTCTCGAAGATCGCGTTAAGACTGATCGAGACCTCGTCAACCCTCATCTGCTACAGCTATTTTTGGAGTAGTATGCACGTACTGACATAAGGTGTCATATCGGATATTAATTTTAACCGGATATTAGAAGAGGTTTTTGACACGAATGAAAAAATTAATTTCATAACTTGTCTGGAAACCACGAAACGAATTTATTAAGCCTAATTAATCTATCATTAGCACGTATGGGTTACTGTAACGCTTATGGCTAATCATGGACTAATTAGGTTTAAAAGATTCGTCTCACGATTTTCATGCAAACTGTATAATTAGTTTTTTTTATCTATATTCAATGCTCTGTGTATCTATCTAATCTAAAGATTCGATGTGACATTTTTGGGAAAAAAGTTTGGGAACTAAAAAATTTTTATCATCACATGATCCAGAAAATTAACATAGGCTTCTGGAATGGATCGAGAGGCTAGCTAGCGCTACAGATTAGTCTTTCATTATCATTTTTTTTTTAAAAAAGAACAGGTTCACCAGTTCATGGTTTATAAAGTACTGCGTTGCGTAGTTTAGAGCAGGTATTGAAAAGAACATATCCTATATACATACAAGCCTCTTCAGGTATATACTGTTCACATCAACTAATAAATTTTACTAAAAATATCTAAAAAGGTAGTGTATTATACTTTTATATATATATATATATATATATATATATATATATATATATGTAAGTCTTAACCTCAAATTTATTATGTTTTAGCTGTAAGAAAAAAAATTTAAAATCTAACAGATTCGAGAGTGTAAATCTATAAGAAATTTGATCTTTTCTCTTTCTATATCAGGGTTTTAAATCTTCTGCTAAACTGCCGCTATCTCTCGCTACAGCTGTTTGAAAAGAGTTCTAGCTATTTGCTCTCATGTATAATTTAGCCGCTATAGCTCCATTTAGCCCGCTATTGCTGTTTGAGAAGCTAATCGCTAAATGTTTTAGTCCGCTATTTAAAACATTGCTCTATATATATATAATGAATTTGAAGACGCGAGTATAAGAGTTGGATTATATGTAATTCTATACTTTACGTCATGCGCGCATTGGATTGTGAGACAGATCCACTAATGGTTATTAAGAGATTGTTTCTCTATAAAACCGTATGTAAGAGTACTATATATAGACCGATGACTTTACATTAGTCTACCGTTTGTTATTTTCTCTTTTTTATTGCTTGCAAAGTACGTAGCGATTAGGGTTTCCAATCACTAATATTTTTTTGAGTGGATCTAATTAATAATCTTGGTTGGCAGCCGGGTCATTTTTTACATTACACAACTCTATCAAATCGATAATCTCCGTTAAAGTTGAAGCTTCGGTCTCTAATAATATAGGAAAACTCAATGCCACAGGAGTAGTTAATTTTCTTTGCAGTTAAGAGCAAGTATAATAGTGAGCTATAAGTCTACTATAATCTTAGGTGGAGGAGAGATGTAGTGAAAAATTAAGGGTGTTGGCTCTATTACAAGCTCCAAGACAAATAAAGTGAGAGATAGAGAGAGGAGAACAAAATTATTGCCAACTATATAGCTAATCTATTATATATGTTGGCTTTAAGACATGTTAATAGTAGTAAGTGAGCTATACTATTATCCTTGCTATAAGTATGTTAGGAGCATGGATGTATGGGACGTCAACGAATTACACCAGAACAAATTCCTGAAAATCATGTTCCAAACTTGATGAATGTTACATCATCCGCCCCAAAATATAACAACTTTAGCCCTCAACATTTGTCTCAAAATATAACTATTTCTCCACCAACATTCTCTTTCCAACCAGTCACAACCCTCCACTATTTATTTTTCTCACCTACCCACTACTCAACCAATCACAACCCTCTATCATTTACTTTTACCTACTTTTTTAATAACAGTGTCCAACTCTAAAAATATTTATATTTTGGGACCGAGGTAGTGAAAATTATATTGTCACCATAGATCGGAGTAATTACAAACTTGATGAATAAAACGATCACTTGACTATGCATGTATGCATGCGATTTTTTTATTTTTCAAACCTTTTTAATTTTTAATTTTAATAATAAACTCTCCATATTTATTTCCACACTTAAACTTTTTGGTCACTTTAGCTAGACTAGCGTAGCATTAATGTTTCGCTACGTCACCAGTGATGTACACGCCCGTAAATGGTGCGCGTGAAAGTGTTGTTTTGGCACCACAGGCGGGATGGCATGGTAAAAAATATTCAGATTTTAAGACAAAATTTGGAGGGTTTATTTTTAAAATTGAAAATTAAAAAGATTAAAAAATAACAAAAGCTCAGTGCATATACCCCGAGACGACGCCCAATCAACTGATGCACGGAGTTAATCAACGACGACTAGACTCTGCAGTAACTCGATCGCAACTCGGATCCTTCAGCACCGCGTGAGAAGAAAAACCTGCATACGCGTTGCTTCTTTCCCTGGACCACAAAAAGGCTGTGTTATTCCCCCATTTTCCCAACCCAACTCTCTCATTTTTCACGCGCACGCTTTTTAAACTACTAAACGTGTATTTTATGCAAAAACTTTCTATATGAAAGTTGTTTTAAAAAATCATATTAATCTATTTTTTTAAAAAATAGTTAATACTTAATTAATCATGCAATAAAACGAGCTTCATTTTGCGTGTCGGGAGGAGGGTTTCCCAACCCCTTCTCCCGAACACAGCATTAAGATCTCTCAGTATATTGTGATACTTAGGTTGTGTGTTAGTTCATGTGTCAAAATTTTTTTTAAGTATATGGACACATATTTGAAGTATTAAGCGTAGACTAATAACAATACAAATTACAGATTCCGCCTGTAAACTACGAGACGAATCTATTAAGCCTAATTAATCCATCATTAGCAAATGTTTACTGTAGCATCACATTATCAAATCATGGCGTAATTAGGCTCAAAAGATTCGTCTCACGATTTACATGTAAACTGTGCAATTGGTTTTTTTTCGTCCATATTTAATGCTCCATGCATGTGTCCAAACATTTGATGTGACGGAAAAATTGAAAGTTTGAAGAAAAAAATTTTAATCTAAACACGGCCTTACATTGTAAGCTAAAGTCGTTCAAATTGGATGCAGTTAGTATATAAATATGACAGGATCAATTCGTTATCCGTGCACCATCATTAGCCAATTTGTCCCTAGCTCGTCCTGGTGGTACTGGTAGCGGCCGTTTTAGCTAGCTAGTTGGATTCGTATATACTTTGATCCATCTCTACAGAGAATTGCGAAGATACCTGCCACTAGCAAGCTACGCTGAGTCGCTGATATACTGATTAGGTACGTATAAACTCATCAACCATTCTGTTTATAATCTTAAATTAGATACCTCTTGCTACCTTAGAACAATTAGATACCAAGAGATACTAAAATTTACACTATGAAATATCATTCCTTTTAAAAGAAAATATCATAATATGGTATTATTTAGGTTGTATATGTGTGGTTAAGTTTGTGCTAGCCATTCAACCTGTTACACCTTGGCCACAACTATATATATACTCAATATATATATATGAAAACAAAATTGTATTATATGTTGAATGGTAAAGTTACTTGCATATATAGATATGTATATGAATGTAATTTTACCATTCAAATCAATATACTGGTTTATATTTATAGATGTCATCGATTAATGAATGAAATGTACTTTATATATACATGTAGCTAGAATCATACATGGATATATATCTACAATTATATATGAGCAGGGGGTGAAAATATCTGGAGAACAAGCTTTAACTAATTCAGCTATGGTGAGCTCGAGCTTTCCTGCGGAGATCATCCACCCTGCCCGCCTGGGTTGCATGCTGAGGCTGCACGTGGTGGAGCATCCCACCGGCGACGCCGCCGCGGTCGCCTTCCAGTGCGACGGCTGCATGCTACCCGGAGAAGGCACGAGGTACACCTCCGTCGTCGACAACCACCCGACACACCTCGCCCTCCACACGAGCTGCGCCCTCGCGACGCCCACGCTGCAGCACGCGCTGGTGAAGGGCACGATGGAGCTCCGCCACGAGGCCCCCGCCGGCGGCGCCGGCGTTTGCTCCGCCTGCTTCGAGACGGTGCGGGGATTCCACTACTACGGGTCGAGGAAGACCGGCAAGGGCGAGCACCCGAAGCTGCACCCGTGCTGCGCGAGGCTGCCGGTGTCCATCGCCGTGCGGGGCGGGCTCACCTTCGAGCTTCGCGCGGAGGTGTCGCACCGGTGCACCGGCTGCAGGGCGATGGAGTGGTACTACCGCCCTTGGTGCTACCGCTCCACTAATAGCCCCGACCACCGCGTGTACCTGCACGTCAAGTGCATCAGGGAGATCATGGAATCTCCGGGCGGCGGCGGAGGCGGAGGCGCCGGTGATGAAGACGACAGGGTGGTGGCCCGTCTACTGGAGCGCGCTGACCAGAGCAGTAAGCTGGAGAGGCGCGTATGTAAGATCCTTGTGATCTTGGTGCGTGTCGTCGTCAGGATGCTCATCGGAGACCCGACCGCGTTGTTGACAGAAGGAGTGAGCGCTATCGTGTCTCCATGGTGATGCTGTATATATATAGCCCGTGAACGCCTAGCTAGCTTAAGGCCGTATATATGTGCTCGTTTTCTTCGTGTGATCTAAGTAGTAGTACGTACTACTCCATAAAGTTATTTTTGACAACGTAGAATATATATGGTATCGTTTTACACTTCATCTTCATGGTGGAAAGCTATTTTAAATCTACAAATATATATGGGACTGCCGCCTATACATCATGTGACCGATTTTTTACCCTCCAATCATGCAGATTTCTTACCCTTTAAATAAACTTCTAACGGATGACATTAATATATACAAACAAAATACAAAACAATAAACAAATGGGCCATTGGACAATCTGAAGCTCACGTGGGCTCAAATGGGCTCAAGTAGATTTTAGACTTACATCGTAAATTCACTAAAATTACATATGTAATTTTCGGACTTACATCGTAAATACACTAAAATTACATATGTAATTTTCAGACTTACATTGTAAAATACATTAAAATTACATATGTAATTATAGTGTAAGTACGATGTAATTAGTACACGTAGGATCGTAAACAACACGGCTCAAATCGATAATGATGGAGTCGGCAAGAATGCAACATGAATCTAAATAGATAAATCTGCAAGATATGGGACTCACAAATCTGTCGCCAGATAGATAGCAATTCCGATATATATACTCCCTAGTTGGATTTGTTCTTTTAGCTAGATGCATCATATGATCGATCTATGTTGTCAAAGGCTTTCACAATCGGAATTTTCATTGACGAGGACATCCTCCACTATTACCCGCTGACAAAGACGCAAAAGTCGGGCGGCGACCGTGTGAGCCTCTGAATAATCCCACCTTGCTTAGCTTGGGAGGAGGAAGCCACCCTTCCCCTATCGGACTAGTCTTTTAGGGAGATTGGGCCTTTCCCCGAGTAGGTGTGCCTATGAACTGTTGGGGTCCGGGCAACCTTAAGTTATTGGGTCTCGGCCAACCCCACCTGGGCTGGATTGTTATCATTTGGTATTAGAGCTAGGCCCTTGTTTAAGGGGGTGGGAATGATGAGGACATCCTCCACTATTACTCGCTGGCAAAGACGCAAAACTCGCGCGGCGACGGTGTGAGCCTCTGAATAATCCCACCTTGCTTAGCTTGGGAGGAGGAAGCCACCTTAAAAGGGGGAGCCACCCTTCGGATGCGAGAGGCCCAACCGCATGCGAAAATCGATTACTTAATGCGGCCGTTTGTGAAGGTCGATTATCGCAGACGGCCTCATTAAGAGGCCCGCTTGCAATAATGGGTATTCCCATGCGGTTTATAATTCACTTGTCGTTTGGAAAGATTGTGCTCCCTTTTTTATATAAAACTTTGCCCCTGTTTCTAATCATAATTTGAAATGCTACGTATAGGATCTAACTGAGTTGTCGTTCTTAGCACATAGTAATTGGAATATTGCACTGAAAAATAATAGGCTTTCAATAGAAAACATGTACATAAATATAAACATGTTTATCCCATATATTACAAACTAACGATCATTTTTCATTTTCTCTTCACACGTTCTTTCTCCCACTCTCTTAGGTTTGAATTTGTTTTCTGATGCTAGTTGACTCTCACTGTCGTAGAATTCTCGTAGTGCATTGCAGCAATCACGGCGGATGAAATGGAATATACTACTAGAAAAACGATTTTTCACAATGAGGCCTATAAATTTTATAGGTGGGCCATATTTTTAGGTGTAATTGTCTGCCTGTGAAGTTACGTGAAGAGGGATCTGATATTTCCCAGCCTGTGAAAGTAGATTTTTACATGCGAATGGCTTAAAGGAGCCGTCTAGGGTAAAACCTACTACCTCTTAAGGCGTCAATTTTCGCAGGTAGTCTGCCTGGAAATATAAAGACACCAGGTAGTAGCTATTAAATCGGCTAAGTCCCAACACCTCCTCGGCTTCTCCCCCCACTCCCTCTCCCTTAGTCTCTGTCATCTCCTCTCCTTAGTTTCGCAAAAGGCTGCTAGCCGGCATCGAGGCTCCTCGGCGCGGCCCTCTGCTCGCCCCTCTCCCTCTCCCCCCCGAATCCTGCACGGAGGGGGGAGTGCTGTGGTGGTGGTGGAAGAGGGGTGGTGACCTCCCTCCCTCGTCCTCTCAGATCCGCACGGAGGGCGAATGGAGGGGGAGGCCGGCGGTGGTGGTGGCAGCGGCGCGGCCGACCTCCCCTTCCTCCCTCCCTCTTCCTCTCAGATCCGCCCGGAGGGGAAGGCCGCCGCCAGTAGTGGCGGCGTGGCCCTCCCCTCTGCAGCAGTAGAGAGTGGTAGGGAGGAGGCCAGCGGTGGCGGAGCTGCACCCTTCATCAGCATGGCGATGCGATAACGATGTTTTTGTTTGTTATTTCCACTTTGATTGATGCTAGCTAATCTGCAAGTCGGTGTTGTGAATTTGAATCCGATGCTCTTGTGTTGATGCATGGATGTTTGTGATTCCATTTTATTAAATGGATGAAGAATTTGTGGTAATTTGTGATTTGTTATGATAGCTAGGGTGAAACCCGAGGGCATGGTTGAGCTGGTGGGGCATTTTTTTTATGGCGCCGAGACTACTTTCGTGGGTGGGGCTACTGTAGCGCTTGGGAAGATTGAATTTCCACTAGTGAAAATGATTTTCGGAGGCAGTGCTTGGTCTGCCTGTAAAAATATTGATGATTTTCACAGGCCTTTAGGTGCAGGCGGAAGATTTGGCTGCCTGCAAAAACGTGTTTTGGCTGCATGGAAAAAATGTTTTTCTAGTAGTGATAGGTCAATGCATACATTCATAATTGTTGTATTGTCAAACCGGTTTGCTAATCTATGGAAAAAAATGACAATAATTGTTAGGAATCCAACTGCACATGTGATGAACTACGGTGTATAGAGAACTATCTTTTAGAATCCAACTCCCGTTGATTCTAGGTATGTTGCACACATATTCTTTTAGATATTGCTTCAAATTATGACTTCTATATTATTTATTTATATACATATGTGATTACGTAGGGTAGGCGTCTACTCCTACTAATTACTGGGTCTAAGCTAAAACTAGCGAGCCATGGACAGAGACCGGAGACTGATCACCTGTTCCAAGCATGGAGCGATCGTGCTGTCGACGACTCCAACGTTGGAGAGCTACTGAGAGCTAGCCAAGTCAGTCTTCTAAGATCAGGGATACTTCCACTCTAAACCTAGACCAATGCATAAAGCTGATTTACGCGTGCCGTGGAAGAAATGGTAAACAAATTAAACATTAATCTTGTAATAACTCATTAATTAAGAAAAGGTAGGTTAAGAATTTGAATGTAAAGATTATATTTAGTTATAGTTACACTCTATATGATCAGGGGGTAAAAAGAACATATTTTTTTACGGCAGTCCGTGAGAAAAGAAAGCAAAAATATCACCCCCACCCTCGCTGTTTAAAAATCTGTAGTAGAAGAGAAATTTTACTGTACTTAAAAACATACTTATAAGTAAATTAAATGATTTTGATTTTGGTATCTCGAGATATTTAATTTGTACACTTAAAAACTAAAAGTTACCCCTCGATATCTTTTAAAAATGACAATATATTACCCTAGTAGATATAGCGGATGCTTATGCATTAGAACGACATATCGAGCTTAATTGTAAATATATAGGATGGGGGAGATAGGGACAAGGGTTCATAGTAATAACCTTACTCTAGTTTATATATATAAATGGATGGAAACACGGATTACAAAAGGGAAATAAGATGAATAATCTAATCCGCCGACTAGAACATGTTAAGCTCTCTGTCTCTGCTAGCTGATCAACTTTTTGTTGCAAATATACCGGGCGGATTATTGTTTCAATCTTGGTAACTCTTCGTTTATTATTATTGTATACTAACTTTTTTATTTGCAATTGTTTTGCCATGCATAGTCTAACTAAATATAGAGAAAATTTCTTATATGTCATAAATATATGCGGTCGGGGCAGCTTGGCTCCGCTGTTTCTTAAAAAAAAGTGGAATCACATTCATGAAAAGAAAACGCAGTAGCAAAGACTTGCGACGCAGCAACTGACTTGCGTCTTTTCTGATTTTTTTTTATAACTCAATAACACTGAACTGATGAGTACATTAACAAGAAGTTTTGCATATTATATGTAGTGAGCAACTGCTTATTACATCAGCCGCGCGACTCAATGCAGCTACATCTTAACAGTAAACACATTCTGCCAACATGCGAAATATATATGACGAAGAAGACTTCCAAGCCGCACAAGAGCGTTGATCTCCTCTAGAGTAGTAATTGGATTTAGGATTTCAAGCCAATGATTATTTTCAAGACTGAGATTTACCTTGTTAGTCTTTATTTTCGACAGTCTGAAAATTTATGGGGCAATATCTTTGGGAGATTGTCCCGAAAGCCAATTATCATTCCAAAAGGAGCATTTTCTTCCATCACCCAGTATGATCTCTGTTCCTGCTTTGAAAAGCTGCCGATCCAAGTCATTGCACGGCAATTCCATCTCCTGCCAAGGCCGGTTTTCGTCCTTCCAACCAAACCACAACCAGCGCAGGAGCAATGCACGGAAAAACTTGTCCAAGTTGAGAATTCCCAGCCCACCTAAGATTTTTGGTTTGCAAACATTTTGCCAGTTAACAAGGCTGCTGCCTGAACTAACGTTTTCTGGACCTTCTCCCTTCCAAAGGAAAGCACGCCTGAGACGATCAATCCTCTTATATAGCCACTTGTTCTGGTGCAAAACTGTGAGATGGTGGATGGGTATTGAGGAAAGAGTTGTTTTAACAAGGATCTCTCTGCCTGCCGACGTGAAGAAACGTCCTTTCCATCCCGGGATTCTAGACCCAACTTTGTCCATTAGAGGCTGAAGATCAACTTTACGCAATCTTTTGGTGTGCAAAGGAATTCCCAAGTATTTGCAAGGGAAGGTTGAGATCCTTCCAGGGAAGATAGAGAGGCAAGCATCAAGGTCTAGGTTGTTGCAACTAATTGGGAAGATTTCAGTTTTATCCATGTTGGTGTGCAATCCACTGATTTCTGCAAAAACTGAAAGAATTTTCCGTAAAGTCAGCCGTTCTTCTTGTTTAGGGGTCACGAACAACGCGACATCATCAGCATAAAGGGAACAGCGAAATCTTCTTTGTCTTTGCAATTTTGTTAGAAGGGCAGCCTCTTCTGCCTTTTCTATCAGTTTGTGTAGCGGTTCCATAGCAAGAATGACGA